TAACGAAGCAGCAATTCATTTTACAAGATTCCGCAGGCCCTCTCGAAATCGTGACCTTCCCATGACGCAACGAGGGCCTGCGGAGGAGGCAGGACGTGTGATGCGGAAGTAGCCTGAGGCGAGCATGTTTTTGGTGAAAAATGAAGAAAAAGTGGATTGCGGTCAAATGTCGGCGTATCGACTGCTTGCACTCGAAAGGCTGGATCTATAGTATTGCCTTCACAAAGCTGTAGCAAAAAGGTTAAACTAGTTCAAATTACGAGAGTTTAAACTAAGTCCGTATAACTTCAGCCATTTCCTTATAGTAACGCTTTTTGTTTCCCATACTTACTGCTGTTATCTTGGCAGACATTTTCCCCGCCATTTTCGTATACTTGCGCATGCGCTTTATGTGTCACCGCGGTGCTGATTTTGATATGCCGGCTTTAGTTCTTGTGACCATTTTTGTAGTGTGATAATAAACTAATTTGATCATTAATACTGATAGTTAATATGTACAATACTCTGAGTACTACGTAGTTTGCAAATTAAACACAAGTTTTTAAAAACACAGCGAATGTACAAGCAACGTAAGTGGAAAGTTTATTACAGATGAGGGCAGGAGGAGGTTGTTCAAAGCTGGATTAGTGCTAACCAGAGGGTCTGAATGGGGTTAATTGACTGCTGACATTTGCCTGAATTTTTGACTGACAACTGACAAAATATCCTAACTGACTACTGAGAAATGATGAAAAAAATTATAAGTCAGCATTTTGCAGTAACTTACTACTGACAGCTTGCAATATATCGCACTGACAACTGACAATGGACCTTTCACCTTTTGACTAAAATTTAGATTTCAACAAGTCTAGACAAAAAATTTATCACAGCTTGAAAGAGCATCACAAAATTAGTAATATTCCGAAGTTTGGTTGCGAAATGTTGTAAAATGCGGATAATATAGCCTTGCGAAGTTTGCAGTTTTCAGTCATTTTGTATTACAAACGGGAAATACATACCCTTTTTTCGAAGGAGGTATGTATTTCCCGCGCGTAATACAAAATGACTGAAAATGGCAAACTTCGCAGTGCTATATTATCCGCATTTTACAACATTTCGCAACGAAACTTCGGAATATTACTAATTTTGTGATGCTCTTTCAAACTGTGATAAAATTTTTGTCTAGACTTGTTGAAATCTAAATTTTAGTCAAAAGGTGAAAGGTCCATTGGCTTAAATTTTAGCTGACAACTGACACCCAAAGACCCCCATTAAGACCCTCTAACCAGTTAGTGCCAGTGGGTTAGAATTAACCTGCCGTTTTGGTTTCTGTTTCTGCACGCCGGTTTCTTTGAAAACTTTGGAAAATAAAACTTCGACTGTTGATCCAAGGGAAGATTTCTGGAAAAACTACTGAAGTGTATAAACAAACGTTTATAGTTATGTAGTTCATAATCATTGTCTACTCAAAAACGACAAAACTGGAAAACGTTTCGCATATAAAATTTTATAAGAAAACAGTCGTTTTCAGCTCATACATCTTGCACCAAACTTGCATAAAATATAAAGATGAGATATTAAAGGAAAAAACTTCAACATACCCACATTCTAAGGTGTTAACCGTTCTGTTATTATCGTTGTTGAAAAATATATTTTCACGATTTTCGTCGCCATGTCGGAAAAGAGCAAGGACGATATTCCACATTTAAATGTCTATCACAACGAATTCCACATATAGAATTCAATGTATCCATAGAAAAAGCAATATTTTACCTGTAAACCTGAATAGGTTTCGTCCAGAAGCAAAGAAATGAGAGAAAAACGGGGGAAACTGTCTAAAAATGAAGATCTGCTTTTGCCAATGTTGAATGGTTTCTGCTCGGATTTTCGCGCCAAAACACACTCGCCCCAGGCCTGCTGCATCACAGGCGTTGAATACTATCAGGGGGTCTCCCACATCTATATCAGGGGCGCATTATTATTCAAATATAGAGGGGGCCGGTGACGCACCAACATTTATCCAATTGGTCCCGAAACGTTTATGGTATTAATATTTTCGGTCCGGTTTTGATCCAAAACAGATGATCATTTTGTACATAATAGACGTATCGAGAAACGCAGAATGTCCAAATGTCACGCATTCAATTACATGCGCCAGGAGGAGAAAAATTAACCTGAGTATCAGGCCGTACTTTTTAGGGCACAGGCACGCCTGATCGTGGGCGAAGGGGAGAAAAGTACGGCCTGACACAAAAGTGGCATTTTGCCTGGTTGTTCAGTCCAGAATCTGGACTGAGCGCTGATTGGCCAATTAGACAAACGATTTTTAAATATGTCATTTGATTGGTTGGTGCTAATTAGATTATACTATTGTTGTTGATATATTTTATAACGATCACAATTCACAACTACAATTATAGCCGGCCCATTAAACGGCTGAATTTAAATTAAAACTGCAGTAAAATTAGAAAATAATCGCAAATTAGCGAAATATATTGCAAATGTAGCTTATATTAAATCGCCATCAGATTGCACTATCGACTGACGTATAGTTATAAAGTATACTTTATAATTATACGTCAGTTTGTTGATAAATACGGCAAGCGCCATGTAAAGCTCATTGTAGTCACTGAAAGTCTGAAACCTCTGCGGAGGAGAGAGCAATCGGGTGGCGATTTAATATAAGCTACATTTGCAATATATTTCGCTAATTTGTGATTATTTTTGTTAATTTTATAAGTTCATTGCAGTTTTAATTTAAATTCAGCCGTTTAGTGGGCTGTCTATGCTATAATTAGATTGTTGTTGTCGTTGTGTGAAATTTAAATTTCTCCTGCGACATTTTGATTGGATACTAAATATAAACTTTGCTGTGGGCGGAAAGCGATCAGATTAAGTTTTGTGTCAGGCTCTATTTGTAAAATAGAGCCTGATACTCAGGTTAGAGAAAAATCGCCGACAAAATTGCTAGTGTGAACCAGGCTTAACGACCCTCTGATGTGGAACAAGCTTGGCTTTTGCAAGACTCTCAGTTACAACAAAGGTGAAGTTTTTATTTTCAATGTATAGTCATGAAAAATCATGTGTTTCATGTATTTAACAATCTTCGGAATTATAAAAATTTTCTTGGGAAAATACCCTGACCCGGCAATGGATACCTTTTCGATAATTACGTCATGAATACGTTCTTCGCGTGGGAGCCTCACTCTCATCACAGTTAATAGACTGAGACTATTAACTGTGCTCTCATGAATCAAGACAAACAGCGATTGGCTCACGATTCATGAAAATGAGGCACCCGGGCCAAGCATGTATTCATGACGTAATTATCGAAAAGGTGTATTTACATACAAATTTGAATATAAAATTAGATACATCTTTTCTTTGGTATAGTTGTAGTGTGGCCCAAAAGCCACTCCCAAAATGAGACTTTGTATTTGTAATGCATCTCTGTAAAGGAAAGTCGGTCATAGAATAGAGGACACCCCCCAAAAACAGTGAATAGAGGACACCCCCCCCTGAACCAGTGCCCTAAACACTATATTGGATACAGTTGACTGATTTTGCAAGAATAAGATATTGGATAGGGGTTGGTTTAGAAAGGAGTTTGATATTCTAGTAACTCAACAACTCAACTGAACCTTGCTTTGTGAATCTTGTGTTATGTCTTTTACCTTCAAATGTGACTCAATGTCTTTTTAAAAATGTTAAACATCTTAGATTTTAAACTATTCCAATGCTCTACCATCTGAGCTACAAGGTCAGGTCGGTTCCAGTTGGTGATATTAGGGCCATTTATACGGAACAAAATAAGACGCGACTTACATAAGACGCGACTTACATAAGACGCGACTTAGATAAGACGCGAGTTTGTCGTATAAAAGGTACAAAATTCTTATGTAAGACGCGTCT